GCTACAGTGAGGCTTCCTTGATGATCCAGGGTGCATGGAGGTGGGGCTGCTTCTCTCAGCCTGTGTGTCTATACTGGGACTCACAGGATGGTGGCAGATACACAGGGGTGTGTTTGTCTGATTCTGCTAGTGGGTGATGGCTGCCTGAGGGAACCAAGGGCCTCAAATGGTGGCCAATGGATGCACAGGGCTCACCTGGCTGTGTGTCCCTGCTCCTGCTGGCTGTCTGCAGGAAGGGGCCTTCTGGTGGCAGCTCCCTGAAGATGAAGGTGGATCTGCTGGTTCTCTCTGCTCACACTGGCCACCTGTAGGACGTGGCCTTTTGGTGGTGGCACATAGCAGGCAGAGGTTGATCTGTCTGTACAACACATTTTGAAATATGTATACATTGTGGAACAGTGCACTGAAGCTAATGAACATGTGTGTGACCTTACACACATTATATTGTGTGTGTGTTTGTTTGTGTGTGTGGCGAGGACACTTAAAGTCTACTAGCTGTGGTTACCATGCTGGTCAGTACATCTCCCGAGCTTCGTCCTCCTGCCTAGCTGAAATGTAGCCTTTACCCACCAACACCCCACCCTCATCTCCCAGGGTTGGTCTCTTTGGAGTTGAGCTATAAGGAGCCTTGAGAGGGACGTGAGCAGGAATGCCAGCAGCAGGTGACTTTTCTTCTAGGTGACCCTGCTGCTATCTCAGGGCACTTCAGGAGGGACACATCAGCAGACACAAAGTGAAATTGCTGGCCACATTGGGAGAGGTGGACAGATGCGAGGCTGGTTTAAGAGGTAAACATGAGGACCTGGGTTAAGGGCAGAGGAGAGAAGAATGCAAAGCGTGAGTCCTTGGTTTGTGACTTTCGAAGCCGCAATGAGATGAGTGGCAAGCCATATCAAGATAGGAAACCTGGGAGAAGGATGGCGTTCAGAGAGAGAGAAGCGTGTGTGCAGCTCTGGACAGACCTAGGGTCCTTGGGGTCTCTACTGCTGCTGCCTGCCGCATTCGGTTCATTGCTCTTGTTCTCCAGCCTCTCGTGTCTGTCTGTGTGCCATGGTCCATCTCGGAGATCTGGACCCAAATCCAGGTCCTCTTCCATTCCTTCCAGGCTCAGCAGTCTGCTTCCTCCCTCAGCTCTCTCTGCTCACAGCCCCTCAGAGCCTGCACCATTGGGCTCCACAGCACAGGTGGGCATGGTGCTGCTGGCCAAGCCCTCAGAAAGCTGCTCGGTCTTGGGGTTCCCCTTCTCCAAAATCGTCCCGTTGCTCTCACTGGCTTAGTCCTGCTGGACTCCCTAGCACAGTGATGGCAAACCTTTCCGAGCTTTCAGTAATAACAAACAGCCAGCTCTGGCACATGTGCCATGGGTTCGCCACCACTGCCCTAGCGAAGTCCCAGCACCTGCTCTTAGACTTGGATGTCTTGCATTTTAACAAATCCTGCCTGCTGCTATCCTACATATGCTGCTGAGACAACCCTTATCCATGTCCAAAAGGTTGGTCCTTTAAGGGCCGTCTTTAGGGCTGGGGGTTTAGCTCAGCGGCACAAGCGCCTGCCTGGCAAGTGCGAGATGGTGATCTCGATCCCAGGTTCCAAAAAAAGAAAGGAGGGATCCTTTTTAAAGCAGACATCACCTCGGAACTCTGGTGGGATCTGAACAACATGCCACTGCTAATCCTTCCCCTCTCGTGGCACTTTATGTGGACTCTTCCCTGGCTCCTGGCACTCGCAGCCTGGCGTCCTGGCTACTTGGTCACCTGTGTCCTGACTCCAGGTAGAGCCAGGCGCTGAGCTTGCAGCAGGGCTTTCTGAAGCTTGTTTTTGGGCCCCATCACCTGGGACAGTTCTGTCACTTCCTGGCCCACATGCAATGCTTTAGTTTACTTCTCTTACTTGGGTCTCAGCTATTTGAGGTACTTAGAGGCGCAGAATTTTTGAGTTAGAATGGGCCTTTGAGACGCCTTCAATATTTAATGATGTTTAGATAGTGATAACTCAGGTTCCCAGGGAGCAAGGCTAATTTTCCTATTTGTGGATCTTCCTGTTTGGCCTGCTGAGTTATCAGATCTTGAGCGTGTCATTCAGGGAGAGTGTGGTAAGTAGCTTCACTAGACTGTGATGTCTTTGGCCTAGAAAGACTGCTTCTCCTTGGTGTTCCAGTATAGAAACAGAGAGCCAGGCATGGTGGTGTGCATGCCTGTCATCCTAGAAGTTAGGAGGGTGAGGCAGGAGGATTGCAGCAAGTTTGAAGCAAGGATTGCATAGTGAGTTCAAGGCCAGCCTGGACTACATAGAGAGACCTTGTGTCAACAAACAGAAAAAGGAACACAGCAACAAAGTTTCTCCTCACTTAATTCTCCTGCCTTTTAAACATGCTTCCATGTTGGCATTAAAATGTCAGACTTTTGCTTGACATCCAGTTTATGTATTTTATGTGTAAGTTGGTGCTTAAGACTATAATTCACATACACTTATAAATCTCAATGTAATCTAAGCATAATAACAGACCACCTGATAGAATGTTTTTCAGAAGTAGTCTATAAGGGGAAGTAAATACTTTATAATATGTAGCTGTGTACGTACACTTTTACTAAGTAGCATTTTTCTCTTCAGGCACTCCTGTTTCAGTCATGTTTCTTACCTGCTTCCTTAAGAGGTTCAAACAGAGAGACCTGTCAGATGCTAGCTAGAGCTAGATCTGCTAGCTCTGCACAGCACAGTTGCAACTTCCAAACACTCAGGTGTTCTTTGACATCATAATAGTGATAACAGTGACTTTCATAGCTTTCTGGCTACCGTTGATAGGCAGCACTCCAGGTACTTTAAATCAATTATCTCAAATGGCCCCTACTTTACAGGTACGTGCGGCCAGGCGATAAGAGTAACATGCCAAAGTCATCCAGCTAATAAATGTCAAAACTCAGATTTCAACCAATTTTGTCCATGTTAAGAGCTCTTCTCTGGCTAAGTGTGGTGGCACACGCCTGTCATCCTAGCACTTGGGAAGCTGAGGCAGGAGGATAATCATGAGTTCTAGGCCAGCGATGAGACCCTGTGTCAAAACAAACAAAAGAGCCTGAAAGTTTTTCTACAGAGGCACACTTTTTTGACTTCTTATTTTGAAATAATTATGAATTTACAGAAACAGTAGAGAGATGTCTCCTGTATCTGCGCCCAACTCTCCCTAGTAACGCTATTGCTTTCAAAGCCCGGAAGTTGTTGGCACAATATAGCTAACTAGACTCTGGCTGTGCTTCAGGGTTACCAGTGTTCCTAGTGCCCACTTTTCATACATTCCTGTGCACAGTCCATGACGTTGAGTCCCCACAGAAGAGTTCCTTCCCAGAACACCCTCCTCCCCTCAACCCTGACAACCACTTCTCCCTGCACTAAGACTGTCACCTCAAGGCATCACCTGCCATGTGACCTTTTGAGGTTGGCTTCATTTACTCACCTTGAGGCCCCTGAAGTTCTGCCGGGTTGCTCAGGCCCTCAGGGCATTCATTTTTGTTACTGAGTAGTATTTCATGATGTGGATGGTTGCACTACAGTCTTCGACTGTCCAAATTCTTAAATATACTCTAAGCAGCATTTCTGTTTTATGAGGAAGTATTTACTGTCTGTATTATCTTGGAAAAAAAAGGATTTAAATTCAAATAAATACTTTATTTCTCTGTCAGGACATTTTAAAAGAGCAAAACCTTAAGCACTTTTTGAAGAATTTTTTATTATCGAGATCATCTAATACAGTAGTAAAGAAAATTTTGGATCAAAAGTTACATATCCCTTCAAGCCTTCATCCATATGAGTATATATTTTAGGGTAGTCACAGCATATTTTGTGTGCCGCTTTTCCCACCTAATCTTGTTTGCCAGGTACCACTTGTTTTGGGAGCCGCATACCTCTTCCATCCTGTAGCCATCTGTAGCTCCTCAAGCATCCTCACACGTGTAGCTTTGTTTTTCATGCTAAATGATCACTCTAAGTCGTTAGCAGTGACATGACTGACTCTCAGTGTGTGTCCCCGGGCCTTGGCTTGGATGTCAGCCCTGCCCTGCCCGGTGTTTACCGTGCAGGTTACCGAAGCTTTTACAAACCTTGGTTGGCAATCAGGAAACAAGGATACTTTCTCTTCCACCTGAATGGTTTTGAAGATAGACTGAGACAGCACATGCCCTGACCGTATGGCGAGCCACACCTGGCAGCAGCCACCGCCTGACAAACGTGATTCAATCATGCCGGCAAGCTTGCAGGCTGCTTGCGCTCAGCATTGGCTCCCAGACCTAGAGAAGCTTTGCTCCTGTGCTTGTGACAGCACTGCTTCCAGGCATTAAGTTCTAGTGGGAAATACAAAAGACTAAACTTGGGGATCAGGACCATAGGAAGCAGGCAGTGTGATGGGAGTCCGTCTGGAACACCGGAGACCCTGGGAGGAGGAGGAGGCTCATTGGGCCTGTTCTAATTGGGAAGTGAGGTGTGGCACAAAAGGAATACATTGAGCAGAGCAAGGGTCGAGATCCGAGCCAGGGCCTGGGCCACACTCCAGGAGTCAGTTGTGTCAGTCCTAACAACTTAGAGTGATCATTTAGCATGAGAAGCTGCATGTGTGAGGATGCTTGAGGGCAAGCGGCTGCTGTAGATGAAGCATTTGTGGATAGGGGAGGCGCTCGCTTAGCCCGAGAGCAGGGCATTGTGGAAGAGATGTCACATGGAAGCGGGCTTCAGGCCATGTCACAGCATCCTGGAATTACGGGCCTAGGGGAGTCCACTCTGTCCCATAGGCAGTGTGCCGCAGCCAGTGCTCATTGCCAATTCTCACTACATTCTCAGCTTCTTAAATGCTTGCTTTTTCATGTGTGACCTGTCCCGCACTTTTGTTCATAAAGGGTAAAGGGGCTAAGGCAAAAGAACACCTTGAAAGCTTATGGTTATTTTATATGTTGTTGGATGTTTTAATTACAGTGGCAGAAATATTAACTTTTGTGTTTTTTTGTCCATTACAGGATTCTGCTCTAATACTTGATGTCCCTCTGGGTGTGATCTCAAGAATTGAAAAAATGGGAGGCGCGACAAGTAGAGGAGAAAATTCCTATGGTCTAGATATTACTTGTAAAGTAAGAGATTCAGTACTTTCTTACACAAAGAAAAAGGCACAGTAGTGGTGAATAATAGTAGAAAATTAACGTGGGATTAAGACAGTCAAAATCTGCTGTACATCTGTGGTCCTAGAAATGGTTCTCCCCTTATGCTTTGAGATTTCCCAAATTGCCGAGGAGGAGAGTTCCCATCCAAGGGACCCTCATGGTCACCATGCGAGGAACTGGTCAGTTTATTAGCCTGACTGAGTAGAAAGAAAACGTTATCAGTAACATTTCTCAATCCGTGTTTAGTTCTTGCTGCAGTCTGCTCAGGGTGACCCTTCACGTCATGTGTCACCAGCTAGACACCTTCATACCATGGGAGGAATAAATCTTGCCTTCTGTGATCAGAATATATGTCTTTATCTCTAACAACCTTTGTAGCTTTTGCTTAGGCTTTAACGGTAGCGCTCTAATACTGTTTCAGGATGATAATGGGTAGAAATTCAGTGCTAATTTAATACAGCCGGTTATATTAGTAACCGTTGATTGAACATTTGTGTCCATCCAAACACATTCTAGGTGCTTTGCATTCCCCCCAGCACAACCTTCAAAACTGGTCAGACTGAAGATAGGGAGCCTGAATCTCAGAAGGTTCATGCCGCTAAGATCACCCTACAAATGACAAAGTCAAACTCTAAATCCAGTGAGATAAACAGTAGAGTCAGTCTTCTGGTGAGGAAACCTGCTTTTTGGGCACTGAGTTTCAGAAGATGACTATCTGTAGCATCATGGCCAAGTCTAGAAAGAGCTGGAAGGGATTTGGAGATCATCGGTCCCTCTTGTTCTCAAGCCCAGATATGTATCAGGACAATCTAGGAAGCTTTTTAAAAATGTAAATCTTTGAGATCTACTGCAGAGCCGATGCAAGATCATCTCTGAAAGCTGGAGCCCAGAAGATGGGGCACTTCCATGTATCTCAGGTGACAGTGAACCATTATTCCAGGGCAGGAGCCACCAAATGTCTCTGTAAAGGACCTGATGGCAGATGCTTTAGGTTGGATGAGCCTTGTAAGATGTGTGTTACGTGTCCTTCTTTGTGTTTCGTGTTGTCTACCCTTTCAAAATGTAAAATAACATTCCTAGCTTGAGAGCCATACAGAAGGTGATGTGGGCTAAAGTTTGCTGACCCCTGGCCAGTCCTCCCCCTCCTCCTATGGATGGAGACACGAGGCCTTTGCTAAATGCTATGACATGCCTAGGGTTGCCCAAAGAGCCACAGTTAGAAACCCTAGTCCTGGTCTCGTGAACTGTGGTTTCTAAGATGCATTCTCCTCTACTTACATTTGGATTATGAATCCAGGAGAGTTTTTTCCTCCAGTTTGTAAGTCATCAAGGCACTCTACCAGAAACCAAACGGTTGTATCATTATTGAACCTGGTCTGAAATTCTCCACTATACGCCACTCAGCTTTCTGTTTGTTTCAATATAAGCTACCTTCATGCCCTACCTGTTATCTCAGCTGCTGTCTGTACTTTAGGCCTAGAAGTATGGGGATTTACAGTGATGGAAAGAGTCTGCATTTCACATGAAAGATTCATGGGAATAAAAGGTTAAAAGCCCTCAAGGGAATGTGGTTGATGTCTTAGTGATTTTGAAGAGACTTTTTAATCCTAATGAGCTTTTAAAAAAATTCCATTTGTTGCCTTTTCAATAAGAAAACTTGTGTTTAGATATTAACCCTCCCCCCAAGTGAACAGGCAAAGCATGTTCTCACCTTTTGACTCTTACAAGAAAAGGCTTAGCAACAGCTTACCAGGCCTAATCTCAAGTATTATATAAGTATATTTCTTGGAATTAGCCTGTGTCCAAAGATGATGGCCTAGCACAAGGTCATAGCACTAAGTGATCTCCCTGCAAACACTGAAGTCATCAGAGTCATTCTCTGTTTTCTCATTCACAGACCTGGTGTTGACAGAGAGGTTGCTGTGGTGGGGCTAAAGCTCGGACCCCTCATCCGCAAGCGGTACCCATAGTGCAGCTAGTCCTGGCACCCCTACACGCGTGGCCACCCCAGTCGTGCACTCTGAGTCTTGCGCTTGCCAAGAGTACTATGCCCGCATGGTGCATAGTGGTCCCAGAGGACACATCCAGTAGCAGGAGACAAGTTAGCTCTGAATATGGGGTTCTTCCCTTGCAGGCCCATAGCAGCCCCTGCAGACCAGGGTAAAGGAGCAAACCTACACTGCCACAAAGCCACTGTCTCCTTCCCTCCATGCTCCCCTTCCTCAGCGTTGAGACAGTGTACTGCTTTGAAGCGAGTAGTGTTTTTCCCTTCAGAGATAGCTTACAGAGAGGGGCCTGGAGAAGCCAGGCCGAGTGCAGTGCCGCAAGGCCCAGTTGGTAAGTAGGCCCAGGAGACCTGCCCCCCAAGGGTGCTGTGCAGGTGCCCTTCCCTGGCTGTGCAGGCCTTCGGAGACCAGGCGAGGCTCGCCCGTTAGTGTGTGCTCCATTTCTGTCACAGGTTTGGTGACCTGCTGCCTGCGAGTCATTTTCTTTTTCCACTGTAATTTTCTCCCTGGCAAAAAATAATTTTGTCTTTAATTGCATCTGCATCAGATGGCAAAAGAAGTGGCTCAAATCACATGTTCTCTGGCAGATGAAAAACTGGAATCCCTAAGAAATGAACATAAATATTTGATATAGAGATGGTCTCCTTTCTGGCCCAGCGTGGAAGAGAGGGATGTTACAGAGTTATTGCTGATCTGAAGCCCTTAGGAAGAAAGTTTCTCCCAGGTCTTCGAGTCCCAAGGGTCTGCAGCCATCCTGCATTGTACCTGCCACTGGTTGTAAACCCTTTGAACATGTCCCATCGCCCTGAAATGATCAGCTCACCACAGTTCAACATGAACCGGCAACTAATATCCTCAATTTTCTTGGGATATGGCATCAAGACTTTCTTGCTTTAAAAAGGAAAAGATGGGCTGGGGGCTTGGCTAGGTGACAGCACCCACCTAGCATATGCAAAGCACTGGATTCTACCCCCATCGTAGAAAGAAAGAAAAAAAAAAAAAAAAAAACGAATGGAAGAAGCGAAAGCAGCATGGTTAGGCAAGTGATTCAGTGGTAAAGCATATTCCTCACATGGCCAAGGCCCTAGGTTTCTGCCTCAGCACCCTAGCCAGAAGTCAGGGCGAGCATCAGAGATCTCGGGGTCTAGCTTGTACTCCGTGTGCCTTTTGGCACGTCATAAGTGGCCAAACCTTTGCTGGTCCTTCTGACCTAAGACTTCCAGAGCTTTCCGAGTACCATGGCGATCATAAGTGAGGCAGCGCTTTGAGCAGTGGGAAGATCACCACACCCAAGAGGGCCAGGCAGGGACTGTGCACCCCCTGGGTTTGCCTGCAAGGAGAACCGAAAGCAGGTGGCAAAGTTGGACCTTTTTTAGTGCTTAGCTACCCTTCAATCACAGCACCACGACTGATTGTTTTAAAGAGACAACCTAAAAAAATCTGACCTTGAAAACAAGCTAGAATATATATTTTATATATGATTATATTTAAAGAAACTTACTTTTATATTCAGTTTTAAAAGTCTTCCTATCTGTTAGAGGGATGTGTATTGAAAGATACCTTTAAGAGCTGGTTGAGATCATTAATCATAGTTCCTAAAAATTAAGTTATTACTATCCTGAGGAACTTGCGTGTGACTTATTTTGAACCTTGTGAAAGTAAACTTGAATAGTAAAAATGGATTACCTACATTACTTGAATAAGAGTTTAAAATGCCATTTAGGGAAAGAACTTTTGCATTTTATTGATGTTTGAGAATGTTAACATTGCATCTGATAGTGGGTACTCTTTTGAGAAGTTGTATGAATAAATGCTATTTGATAATTAACAATATGTGGAAACCATGAACATGGACACAGATGTACAGGCAAGGTTTGATTTCTGTGTTTCTTTCTTTTTTTTAGTAAAATGATATTTAGGTCTATCTTGCCTTTAGCACTACTTTTTGTTTTTTTGGTTCTGTCTTTGTTTTTTGAGACAGGGTCTCACTGTTGGTTCAGGCTGGCCTTCAACTCACTATGTAGCCCAGGCTGGCCTTGAACTCACAGTGCTCTTTGTGCCTTGCTTGGGGTTACAGGTGTGTACCGCCACACTCAGTTCCAGCACTAATTATTCTATTTTACCTTTATTTTCGTGGCTACAATGGGAATATTTTCAGATGCTTCTAAAGCAGATGTTTTTTTTTTTTTTTTTTTGTCTTTTTCCTTTTTATCGGTACCAGGGATCGAACTCACGACTGCCTGCTTTCAAGGCAGGCGCTTATGCCGCTGAGCTAAACCCCTAGCCCCCTAAAGCAGATATTTTTAAAGGCCATATATGAAAAAGTAATTTTCTTAGTGGTCTAGATTAATTGCCCTTTTAGGTAAGTGACTCTTCTGCTCCCTTAATTGAACTGAAGTTGTTTTTTGGGGGGAGGGTCTTATTTTTTTGCTAAATAATGTGATTTTTATTTGTAGACTCACTGTCCCATTTGTCCTTTGCCCCCAGGATATGAGAAACCTGAGGTTCGCACTGAAGCAGGAAGGCCACAGTAGGAGAGACATGTTCGAGACCCTCACGCGATACGCCTTCCCTCTGGCCCACAGTCTGGTAAACCCCAGGGCTCTTCCGTGTGGCGGCCTCGGTGGAAACTGCCTGTGGGCTCCATGCTCTTTCATTCAGTCCCTAAGGTTCCTGTGATGCACATGTAGGGTGTTTATTAAGTCTGACTCAATCACTTCCAGAGGGAGGTGCACGATGGGGCACCCCACTAACTGATCCTTGGTGCTGGAACCCTTTGTTAACCCTAGAGTGTCACTTGGGACACCTTATAGTCTCTGGCCCTGAGCATGCTCTTTACAATGCAGGGGACAGGGAGAAGATGGGTGACTTAGTGCAGGACTACAAGGTCACCCGGAGTTTCTTGCGTTTCACTTTGGCGCTAACCCCTGAGCAATGCAGCTCAAGCTTAAGTGGCTATAGATAGTTACAGGAACAGCTACTCCAATGAAACCACAGGACCTCAGAAATACAGATGTGCTGGATAGGTTCCACAACCAGCAGCTAAGTAGGACAGGTTTATTTTGGAAAAGAATGTTGCTTTGGGGCTAGGGATATAGCTCAGAGGTAGAATGCTTGCTTAGCATGCACAAGGCCCTCAGTTTAGTCTCCAGTACCAGGGAGAAAAAGAATGGCATTTCAAATGGCATTTGATAACAATTATAATATAGGATGTATTTATTTGGTATTTAATTAGTCGTAAACTGTGATGTATTCCAAAAGATAATCAGCTAGCATGTGTACCTAACGTTTGCCCTGCCTCTTCACCAGCCATTGAAGTAAGCTTCCTTTGGCCACACGGCTGAGCTAAACCTTTCATGAGTTTGATCTTCAGGCTTTCTTTATAGTCAGCCTCGGCACTGACTGTGTGTGTGTGTGTGTGTGTGTAATCCCTTGGTTACATCTTCTTCCCCTCTCCTCCCTCTCTGGTTGACCCTAAATAGACTTGGAGGTGAATGCCTGCTAAGGAGAGAGCAAGGAAAATATTCTTTACAAAATGTACAACCACCTAGATTTGGGAAGGTGATAATTATACTACAAAGCTAAACCAAAGGGAGCGCACACTGGTGGAGACATGCATTGTATGTCAGCTTTTCTTCCTATAGCTGTCTTTTAATATATTTGGGGAGTTTGTTGGATTTTGGTGTTGAAGTTCTTTGAAATAAATCCCTGAGTTTTTTTTTTCTAATGCAACACAGCTCCTCTCTCACCAGATTTCACTGGCAGTCCTTTCCACCACAGGAATTTGAAGGTTGGTAGAAAGGGAGCTTTCCGCAGAGGCTGTGGAGATGAGGAGGGTAGGAAGTACTCATCAAGACTCTTGAGTTGTTCAAAGATGGACACATAATACTTCCACACAAATCCACCACTAATACTGTATCTTTGAATCCATGTTCAGCCCTTTCTGAATTTCTGATTAGACAGGTGATCCCAATAATATTTCTGTACTAAACATTTTAACTGTAAAGAGTTTTATGGGAACATATGTAAATTATTATGAAAGTGAGAATGAAATTTATGAAAGTTCAGTTAGATAATGGGGTATCTATTGCTTTATGCCTATGTAGCCCTTAGAAGTTAAAGAATGGCTTCCAGAACAAGTTTGGAGGAGCCTCAGCTAAATCCATTTCCTGCAGTATGTTGTACCATCAGTGTTATGGTTTGTGTCTAGATGTCCCCCCAAAGTCTCATGTGCTCATAGGTGGGCTTTTCAGAACTGGCTGGATCTACGGTGTGTAATGCTGGAATTAAGGGTGTGTAGTATTAAATTAGCTGACTGGTTGGAAGTAGCATAGTTCTGTGTGTGGCTGAATGTGTTTATTGAAGACACAAGCCCACCCCCCCCCAGTGGGGTATGGGTGGCACTGCCCAAAAGGTCTGTAGCCTGGGATAAAAGGGAAAGGCAAGCTCACTGCTTGCTGCTGCTATTACTGCTGCTGCTGCTGCTACTACTGCTTTTGCCTCCTTTGCCATAGACTGTTTCCCCTCTGTGATGCCCCTCTGCATCCACCCTGCCTTGGAGCCAGCTGACTGTGGACTGAAAGCTCTACAAACTGTGTCAAGAGTTGGGCTAGCTGTCCTCTTAAACAGATATTCCTTCTCCCACTTGAAAGGCAAACTTCTAGGAAGAATATTCTAGCCTAGTCTTATCTCAAGTAGATTCTTTCTCCAGCCCACTCCCATGTCCAGCTTCATTGCTGGCACCTTCTTGGAGCTCATGACCAAATCTGGTAGCATATTTCCACCCTCATTTTTTTTTTTTTTATCTCTCCCAGCATCCAGCATATTTAACTACCCTCTTGAAAGTCCTGGATTCCTTGAATCCCCATCGTGACTATCTCTTACCAACCATCTTCTCTTCTCACCCACTCTGCCTTGATAATTTCATTTATCCCAATAACTTCACCTGTCCCTGCTGTGTAGATGCTTGTACATATAGCCCTGATGATGTCCTTGAATAAGTCAAAACAGCATAACCCTCAAATTTGTCCCCCTAGAAAGTCCATGTGGATTACAGGGTCTCTGGTACCCTAACCTCTTTGGAATTCACAAAGCTTGTTCTTGGTTTTCTATGTTCTGCAAGTGTAGGACCTCAGTTGCTCAGGTTTCATGCTGACGTCACTGCTGTTTTCTTTCCCCTGCCTTGTGCCCTGTAGACACATCAGTTCTGACTCCTGAAGCCTCTACTTCTTAGTCTCTCCCCACTCTTTCTTCCCGTTTCCAGTTGTGCTTCCCTTCTTCCAGGTTCCTCCCCTGCAACTCACCCTACGTGATGCGGCCAGTTGGTTTTCTTTCTTTTGTTTTTAATTTTAGTACAGTCATGTCACTGTGACCCCCAAAAAGAATCCCTCCATGACTCTTCTGGCTTGTACCCTGTACTACAGCTGTGCGGGGTGCCGAACGGTTCTCTGCCATACCCAGCACATTGTGTGTGGCTTTTGCCATCACCGTGACCTGCAGGAGCCTCGCTCTATTACCCGTCCTGCACACCTCCATCCTTCAGCATCTTGCTAAACCCCCAGGTGCTTTTCCAGGCCTTGTGTGTACCCCCTGCAAGGTCTGTCTTTCCTTTGCAGGCCCCTCTATTTTAGTGCCTCCTGCAGTTTGCCTTCTGTAATAATGATGTTGTAATTGCCTGCTGCCACTAATCCATCCTGCCCACTGTACTGGGAGCATATCAAGGACAGGCATTACCTTGTATCTGTCTCCCTGGCTTCAGCACGTTGACTTCGGCACAGGAGGGATTTTGTTATTCTTGTTTTTGTTTTGCAGTGCAGGGGATGGGTCACTAGGCTTCACGTATGCTCAGAAGTGCTCTGCCTGCCACTCAGCTACAGTCCCACAGCTACAGTCCCACGCACCACAGTGTTAAAATGATAGCATTTTCATTGAACTCAGAAAGTGATGGAAGAATCACTTTATATGGCGAGAAAAGGAATGAGTGTTTCTGGATATTGTAGATCTAGTACCAGAGCCTAGAATTCTGTGTTTTGTCATTAGAGTCGCCCACAGAGGACTTGATTTCTCCATACTTGGTGCCTGTCTATATTTTCTTTTTTATCTCTATGCTGAGAATCCCTGCTTCTTACGTTAGGATGTCAATAAAGTAACAAACTAGAGAAAAATGTGAACCAAGTTGCTCATACAGGGTTGTAAAAATTACATTCTCTTAAGTTTTAACCTCTGAAAGTCATCCTTAAAAATGTTTAAATCAGTCACTAAAATAAGACCATCAGATGAAAGTGAAATCAGGCCAGCTATTAACACGGCTTTTGAACACCAGGTCCTGACATGATTGTCTGTGGGTATGTCTGAAATGGAGTTCATTTAAGAGTCTCTGTTGGCCCATGTCTGGTGGCGATGAGCGCAGTTGAGAGGGAGTGGGGCATTGGTGAGAGCCGTGTGGCACAGACGTGCAGACCTGACACGGGAGCACTATAGGCAAAGCCCCAGGGGCTTCCAGGAAGGGGCCTGGCTTTGCTAGCTGTTCAAGTGGGCCCTGAAGGATGGATGTAATTGCCAGTGAGTGAGGAAGGTAGAGGAAGTGGGTCTTGGGCAGAGCCAAGGGTGTGTGGGAGGGTAGCTGGTAGTACTGGCTGGAGCTGGGAGGAGATTTGGGGTGATCTGATAAGGGGCCAGGCCAGAGTGGGGAGCTTGTGCATCCGGGAGCAGTGGAGTCCTGCTTAAGGCACAGAAGTAAGTGAGGATTAAAGACAACATTGTGCTGTGCAGGATGGAGGGGAGACAAGAGATGCATGGGACTACCATGTGCGGACACGGCTGGGAAGGGTGGACGAGAGGCTGCACAGACCTGCACAGCAGTTTGACCTGACAGGGCGAGAGAGAGGGATGGATTCGCCCCGCACCTCAGGTTCAGGGCTTGAGTCCTGGGAAGGGCGAGGTGCCCACAGGGTGGGGAAGGCAGAAAAGGAGCTCATTTGGGAGCCACGTGGGAGACAGAGTGGAGGGAAGCCTTCTTTCCTTACGTTGGTATTGTCAGTGTCTGCTTTGTTGAACTTTTGGGAGTGCAGGAAAATGATCTGAGTACAGGGAACAGAAGCCACTTTGCAAAGTTTTAAAAAGAGAGCAGGTTGGTTTTTTTTAAAAAAAAGCAAAAGCAGAGTTAGCCACGTCCAAGAAGAAGTTTTTCCCCCTCCAAACCCAAGAGAGGTGGGCTAGTGTATCTGTGGACAGGGTAGCAGAGGACTTGTCCTGCCTGGACCGGGATCCCGGGGAAGGCCGAGGGGGATGGGATCGTGTCTCATTTGTAGGACAGTTTTGGAAAGGAGAAGGGACAATTATTCGTCTGAGACAGGAGAGAAAGAAAAGTTTCCAAACTGCCACAGTGGGGAACGCACAAGTGTGCCAGAAAGGGATTTCCTGGAAGCATAATCTAAGTCTGACTGCACTGAACAACACAAAGGGCCCCTGCTTGCAGAAAAAAAAAAAAAACCCTGTTAATTTTACTGAGACCGTTAGAGCAGTTGCAGATGAGCTCACTGGTTTTTATCACCGTCCCAAGTCACAAGCAAGCTTGCTGTTTTGTCCGT